ACAGAAAAGTTGCTAAGGTTTGAAGAATGAGCTAGAAAAATGGGCAGTAAAAAAAGGAAGCAAAGGAGGCAGCACCTGTGGCTCAAAGGAGAAGGGGGCTGGCCCCATATGCTGGGCGTGGCAGGTTCAAACCCAGCCCTGCCAAAAACTGCAAAAAAAAAAAAAAAAAAAAAAAATTGCCTAAGGCTCTTGTTAAAATGTAGGTTTCTTAGTCCATGTCACTGAATTGGACTTGCTAAGGGTTGTGCCTAGGATCTACTAGCTTCCCGGGTAATTCTCTGCACATTAATGTTTGAGAACCCCTTCTGTGGTGGCTTTTTAAGACCAAGGCTGCCCTTTTAGGTCCTTCAGGGCAATTAACTCTCTATCTCCATTTTCATCTGACTTGAGGGCTTCTATTTATCAGTGAATAGATCCAGCCCAGATTTGAGCCACTTTATTTCTTGGGTATGGGATTTACTCTCTTGTGAAATGGATATCTGATGCTAGCATGTACAGTTTTCTGTTAGCAAAAAGTCAGATCAAAATGCACTATCACCAAGAGAGCCTTAATTCAAACAAGGTAGATATGTTTGGAGTCATGAACAGAATAGCTATAGCCAAACCCAGGATAACAAATTTTATTATGTGGATTGAGCTTGACCTCCTGTTATGGCCTGGTAAAGAATGAGGAAGAAGTAAAACATGACACACGTGTCCAGAGGCGAATGTTAGAGCCAGCCTGAGGAGTCAGGAGGTAGAATCATGGGACAAACTAGAGTTAGCCACCAAATGTCCAAACAGAAGACAGCAAAAGCTAAACAGAAGAATAAGAATCATGACCATGAAATGTGGACCACAGATCAAGAACTGGAATGGTAGCCAAGGTAACAGGAGAACTGGGCTCCAATCAGAAATCTGAGCAATCCAGTTTAATTTTGGTGTGTGGAGTTTATCTGGCATAGAGCCAGCTAACTCAGGTGCAAGTGATATCTTAAAGATACTGTCTGGTATCTCAGAGTTCCTTCCGTCTATAGAACTTAACTACCTTAGGACCTTCTATAATCAAGTCCTCCCCAAGTCTCTGAGTACCTACAGTGTAAAGTGCTGTGGTTCATTGTTAAGTGATGTGTGTCTGCGCGTACCTGATGTCTTAGCCACCAGATGTCTTTGGGGGGAATAAGGTGGCCTCTATTGTCTTAATAACTGAAATTTATGACTTTATGCCTTGACATCTATGAGAAATTTTATATTTTTAGAAAGAAATTGTTTCTAAAATATATTCGTTCTTGGTGGCCTCTTGACAAGAGTATGATAAATGTCACTTAACCTTTTCTCAATGACTTAGGTCCTTGTTCTGAACATGGTACTGAACCTAAACTTTGATGTATTGATGCCCTCTGGGGCTGTAAAATTGTGTAGGCCTTACGTTGTTCTTTTACTGAATTTTACCAACCATTTTGCCAGAGTTGTTGGTCTGGACACTCAGTGATATTCATAGGCCTCTTGAAGTGTATAGAGCCATTTGCCTCCAAGCTAAATAGCCCTACACAGCCGTACCACTTGGTGGTGTGTATTCCTGTGTCCTCTCTTGTGATTGCCTCTGTTCTCCATGGGTACTCCTCTTTCTGGTCAGTGACTACCTTTTGCCCCAGCAATCTGACCATCTGTCTTCAGTCTCTGCACTCCTGATAGTGACTAGTGACTCTCTCTAAAAAAGTAAGTTGACTAAAGGTCAAACCGGTTCATCTGGAAGGGGAGACAGAGGTTTACATGCCTCTTTAATGAAGTGAAATGGACGCTTGAATGTGTTCGTTCACTCATTACCTACCATCTGGGACCCAGAGTTGAGCATCCCATGGTCAGCATAGGCTCCACTCATAGAGCGGACTTGGCTTCTAGCAGGGTACCCAGGCCCTGAGGGTAGAAGAGTAGAAGCACAGTTCACATCCTGGGCCAGCTCTCATGCTGGCTGGAGCCAGATATTTGGGGCTATCAGCAGATTGAGGTGCTAAGAACTGGAAAAACTCAAGTAGGGATCTTGCCCTTGAGCCTGCCTCTGGGTAGTCCATAACCTCAGAAAAGAGACAAAACACAGAAATGAATAGTTATGGTTCAGTGTGGGATGAAAACTGTAGGATCCAGAGATGAGAGAGGGTTTGTTCCTTTGGGATTGAGGGTTGATTTGGAGAAGGCTCCTTAGGGAGAATAACATGGAAGCTTAGTCTTAAAAGATAAGTGGGAGTCTCCTGGGTTAAGAAAGGAAAAATGTAAATGTCAGGCAGAAGGGCTTGAAACTATCTTGTGAATCATTTTTGAGTTCACAGATGTGTTTGAGAATGTTCAGATTGTCTAAAATATGACAACCAGAAAAATGGGTTATTATTCTGGGTTTATATATGTTGCAAGCATATTATAGCTAAAAATTCTCATCTGGCATCTGTAGGAGCTCAGCAGGGCAATTAACAAATCTTAGATTTATAATTTTGTTTATTTATTTATTGTATCCATAAAAAGTGAATTCATTTAGGCCATGTATTATACCTGATCAGAAGTTGCTTTTATGCAGAAGCTACTTTCTTAGTAAGAACTGCAAGTTTTATGAAATACTAAAATGCTTCTGAAATATAAACACAAACTTTTAGTGTTCATTGATAGCCTACAGTTGGGCCAGATGTGTAGTTCAACAGTGGGCTTGATTGTTTAAGATGTTAGCTGAGGTCTGGGTGCCTGTAGTTCAGTGGCTAGGGCTCCAGCCACATACACCAGAGCTGGCAGGTTCGAATCCAGCCCAGGTCTACCAAACAACAGTGACAACTACAACCAAAAAATAGCCAGGCACTTGACGGGCGCCTGTAGTCCCAGCTACTTGGGAGGCTGAGGCAAGAGAATTGCTTAAGCCCAAAAGTTTGAGGTTGCTGTGAGCTGTGGTGCCACGGCACTCTACCGAGGGTGACAAAATGAGACTGTGTCTCCAA